TTAAACAATGGTAAGGAAAAACTAAAAGATTGACAAGCGTTTAGAAATGAACCTTCTCAACCTGGGTGCTACCCTCAACTCTCGGGGAAAGGGTGAGGGGTTATGCACAAGAATACAAAAATGGCTAATAACTAGTAATTAGGGATAGCACTTTCTTATGAGGAACAACAATACAAAATATTTAAAAACAAATATGCAATCAAATATTAACACACAAATGTAAATATTTACATAAATTTTCAATAACATATTTTCCATTTCTGAAATATTGATGGCTCATACACTATACATTATCAACCTTGTAATCATAGGTTGACTTCATAGCGTTATCAGAGCTAATTATTAGCGATATCATAAAAATAGATTCTTGCACAAATTATCCAATGTTTTCTATTTTATTAATATTTGTACTGCTGTCTATAAATTTAGGCAATTAGAGTAGGTGAAATAGAGATCCTTTTATTCATATTATTGAATGTAAAGTCACATATAAATCTTAAATTCTGCTTTACACTTACAGTCAAAGGTATGTATTGCAAAATCCAGTTTAACGGTAACAAAATCGTATACTTTTATTTTAAATACTGCTGCTAAAGAACTGAATGAAGAGAGATGAAATTTATCTTGATTATTAAAGTAAATTTCGTAAAAGGCAAAATATTTCATTTCAGAAGAAATTTCAGATAACTAGATTTAGGCTACTAGAATTCATTGCGCATGCCGTTACAGAATTCGCCAGCTTTCGCTCTAAGTACTATGTTCTTACTTTTAGATCCAAATATGATAATCACAGTAGAATTTTAAATTAGCCACTTAAACTAACATCTTAAAATGATGCTTTCGTACATTTTATTTCTCAGGATGTGATATTACATGGATGTGAAATAAGATTTGTAATTGTATAAATAATGAAAAACTTACAGTTTTACAGTTTTAGCTCATGATATTTTAACTGCTTTTTATAACTAAGAGATTTTCCTTTGCTGTTGCATCTGCTTTAAGTATGCAATATTTAGTATATCTGTATAAGTTGAAATGCGTCGATTCTTATTAGAGACTTGTTTGAACATCAAGAAGTAGTGAAATATTTTTATGTAGCATTTTAACAGCTTTGAATAGATGATACCGTGGCGGTGCGATACAAAATCTCAATTCAGTCTTTTTTTTAATTAGAAAAAATGTGCGCCGGATTTCAACTTCATATGAGATAAAGGTTATTGCAGGAAGAACACTTACATTTCCTTATTTGACATGATTGTTTTGCTTTAATAAAAATTAACCTTTAGGTGTGAGCAAGATAATTACCATTAATAATTCGACAAAAACATATTAACCAATTAAATTTATCCATTATTTAGCTTTATATTTCTCTCCTCTCTACTCTAAATTCAAGACATAAATACGAAAGTTTCGCTCCGGCATACAATAAGAAATCTAGAGTTGTTTATTTTACAGTGACAAATATTTTTAATTCTTCAAATAAAGATTAAAATTTAAGTTTTCTTGTTATTTAACTTGGATAACTGTTTTAAAGTAATAGATAACGGTATTTCATATTATTTTAGTTAGAATTACAATTCAATGCAATTTGTTACACGAAAAACATTAAAAGTTCGAAGACTGCTTTCCTGATCTTCACATAGGCAATAATTCAGATTGCCTATGTGACGAGATAAGGAACTTTATTTACTTCTATAATTACCTGCTTGCTACACATTTGAAGAACTCTTTAGTATAGTAATTTAATCGCTTTTAGGAAAACCAATTATTAAATAAAAAGGGATATTTTAAATCTTATTGTAATATAAATTTTTTTTCCTGTAATTAAACGATGTTATCTTAATTCTGTAGTTTCCGAAATATTCGTTTTATCTCATCGCCAGTTTAGAATATTAACAAAGACTCTCATTCAAATTTACATTGCTGATTTTCCCATGAGCGTTCAGTAGTAATCGCGGAAATATATATCATCCTGTTTCAGTTTTTCTTCTTTTATATATTATGTTTTTATTGTATATTATATTTATTATATAATTTATATTCTTTTATTAAAGATTTATATTATCAACTAGACAGACCACCCACCTTGCCTTATTTGTCATGATTGTTTTGCTTTTTTAAATATTAACTTACATGTGTGAATTAGATTAATGAATCGCTTTTACGTCATAAAATATAATGACTTTTGTTGTTAATGTTTTTAATTCTCCTAATCTGAACCTACAACCACATCAAGTCAACAAACTTTATCATAGCGAAGATACAAGGTTTACGCCTGCCGTTGTCATAAGCACCTTATATGTGAAAGTATACCTTTGCCCAGCTCCGTCCCAGTTTTTAAGGAGAATCTCTTGGGTGAACGGATTTCCTAACCCTTGTCTCCTTCAATCAATATTTTGAAAGGACTTTATCCTCGACAGTAATCCAAATGCTCTTATAAAGCAAAAACAATAAACATTTACAATGATACTTTTTTTTTCAGGATTTTAACTCGGCTCAATACTATGGTATCCGGTTCTCTTACCACTGTACTAATAAGACTGCATAATGACTTTTAGTGAATATATATATATATATATATATATATAATGAAAACAAGAAAAAGACGGAGCATTGTTGATGCGTAATACCTAGATAGGATAGATCGTAGATCCATATTGAAGAGGAAGAATTCTGATTGTGTAGTATGCTAATAATGTTGAGTTCATAATATCTAAGAAACTTGGCAGTTAAATCCGTTTTTATTTCCAGTTGACATTTGTGGCCACTTTTCACTTGGCACTCTAGTCCTGCCTATTCAAGAACATTTACATTTTTGATATTTTTGCGATAGGAAGCGAGCGCAAAGAAACAGCGAACAAGTAGCACAGAAGCTCAAGCTGAAAGTGGAGCATTTATCCAATATGGCAAGCTGTTAAGAGAAAAGTTTCGGTTTAGGTTAGAAACGTTTCAGTTCCCAAGAGTTGCGTCATCAGCGTTGCGCAGGCCATGCAATATAGAATGATCTAGAAATGACGCACTCTAGAAAAGTTATTATGATTTTTTAAACAAAGAGGGAGAAATAAAGGGTTACCGTTAGTTTAAATTATAACTTTTATTTACGTATTTTTATCATATAAAATATCTACCTTCCAAATAATAAATTAATAATATCCCTTAAACTTCCGTTTTCATTCTAAAAATAACAAAGTAATAATTTTTCTAACTAAACTTCCTGCAATTCTGATGCGCACTTATCGATGAAATCTGAACCCAACATCTGGACATTAATCTCTCATGTGATCTGAAATGGAATTTGGTATAAATGGTAATTGCATCGCAAGTCCCCTCTCTTCACTTTTCTCTTCTGCTTCTTTTCGCTGTGTCACTTTGCCGCTAGCCACGCAGAGTTTACTTTTGTAATTCCGTTCATTGTTTAAGAGGATATAATCTGTATAAAACTGTGGGATGCATGGCGCACCCACAGTGATTATGTGCAATATCAAGGAATAAAATTATGTGTGGAATTTACCGCCAAGTCTGCCTTCCGAGTGTCATCAGTCTAACGATGCAGTAAAATCACTCCAAGTTATAATGCAAAAATACCATCGGCAATCCGTTGCAACTTTCTCTCACCAAGTCATCTTATGACATATATATATATGTCATATATATTAGTAAATATGTGTTTGTGCGTGTGTGAGAGAGAGAGACAAATTTTTTAGTTATCTTGAGAACAAGGTGATAACTGTAAATTTGAATGATGCATAAGGAAGGAGAAACTAACAAATAGTCGTGGCCATCCATACATAAGATAACATTCACAGAGAGATGTAGCCGATAACAAGACATAATTTGTTGCTGAATACTTAATTAGCGACGCACATTCTCATTCACACATCATCATAGGTGCGATATGCACCCCACATGTTTGTATGGATTACATTTTTAGACAATATGGTTTTTAGATGCACCCCACAGGTATGTATCGATGATAGACAGAAGAGGCAGAAGAGCAAAGAAAAAGCCAAGGGAAAATGGGTGCGCTCAGCCAAATAGTCGAGAGGCTCTTTAATCAGAGCTATCGTCAAGCAGGATTACGTAAATAAGCATGAAACGGATTAACGACGCTATCTCTTTGCTTTCTTTTCTCCCACGATGTTTTGGAGCACGACATTTTCGCCTTGCGTTGTTTTCTCCGCAATGTTTTCGGCTGTAACAGTCATACGGCATTCTGAGTAAACTTTTAAATAGCTGAATTTGTTGCAATGCTAACAAACATTCATAAGGAATGATTGTGAAATTATGACCGTAACCTGGTACATTCTGTAGTTAAATTTCTGCAGAAATAAATTACCTATATGTTTGTTTACTATTCTGTTATGTACGTGGCTTCATATTAAATCTCCAAAGGTTCGTGGGCCGATAACGTAGCTAAATTTAAGTTTTTATAATAGAATTGTATTTATTTCATCGAAATAAATGGTAAAATAGACTAGATCTACATACACGTTTTTTCATTAGTAATATTCTAACTTCTAAAGTCTTCTTATGTTTGCAATTTGTACAACACGTGATTGGATTGCTTCACTTCTTTTATTTCTTTCTCTCCTCTTCCTCAAACTTTATCTCAATCTCCGAAAATAATCTCTGCATATTCTTAGAATAAAACTCTACTCATAAGCAAACCTATGTACTTTTCCAACTGTATATTTATGTGTGTGAGTATATATTTACATATGTATATCAATAATTATAAATATGACTGAAGCATAGTGTTCATTATCTAATTGCTCATTTTTAGACTCTGTTTACTTGAATGTGGTAGCGAAATTTTTAATTAAGAAATTAAGTATTTTTGGTGTATCACACATGGCATAAAATCCCAGAAAAATGTATAATGCATCTTTCCAGTCTTACAAGTTTGTGCTCAGTTACTTACTCTCCTAAGCGAAGCTAAATGCTTAATTCGCAGTTTAACACAGAATTCTAATCTAATGATTTTTTTTTCTCCTTTACAGATAACAGATTTAGTTAGACGATCCGTATACCGTTTGCGACTCCAGTATTCCTTGAATGTGAAGCCGTCCTCTGTCACTCTGTCCAATCTCCCAGTCGCAGTATCACGTTCGAAGCAAAAGACACACCCCTCCCATTATAACCGACGAAACGTGATGAAAAGAGACTCGTACTCTGTGGAAGAAATATCGGATTTATTCTAATATCGCATTTCTGCCGGTAACCTATTTTGCCGCCGTTGTTTGCGTCAAAGTGATTTCTAAACATGCTGTGAATCTCCATCGCTGATCTTTAAATTTAAGATCAGGAAGAACATTACCTTGTGATTAAAGTTTTGTTAAATTTATCTACTTCCAGTTAAGAGATATGAAAACCATTTCGTCTGTTGTCATTGCAGTAATTTGAACCGAACCTTCCTTACCTTTACAGGAGCTTTGCTTTTGGTTGTAAATCATGTATATCATATACATCGTGTTTAAATGAATATATGTGTATGTACCATATTCTTACTTTTCTTTACTACCTAATACATTCTTTTTGAGTGCAGAAACAAAATCTGTTATCAGAAATGACAATATGCACTATCGGTTCAAAATATTTGAAATGTTTATAACAGAGGAAGTTAAGAAGTCGGAATTTGTGTCTGGAACATGCAGCAAAACAGGCAAATATTTTCAGTTTAAAATTAGTAAAGAATTCAATATTTAGCATAGAAGGATACACAACGTGCATACTGAGTATTCAAATTAGGAAAGGCTGTAATTTCTAATTGGTCTCATTTAACGCGGAAATCTCAGGAAATAAAAGTGTAAAATTAATAATCCTTTCAAAACGTTACCTTTAATTTGTTCAGAATAAATCTATTTGCAGTTAATAATAAATATTGCATAAAATAAAGTAATAAATAATAAATAATGCAAAAACATTTGTACCAAATACAGAAAGTTCTAAAACTTTGTGTAATCAAACATTGTTCCCTGTCTTGCTTAGTTTTCAAAAAACGAATTTTAAAGGTTTTTTTTACTAGACCCTCTAAGAACGTTTTGAATTAACTGAATCGGCAACTCGTATTTGCTCTCCTATTTCTAGACCCTTTTTCTCAAATTCTTGAACAATCAAAAGATAAAAGGGAACTTGAAAGAGAAAATCTATAGTTTCGTACATTTAACCTTTATTAAGTGAAATAATATATTTTGATATATTTTGAGATAATATATCTAACAAAGTTTATTTAACATTAAAACTAATATATAGTTGAAAACCAAATGTTCAGATCAACTTTCAACAATCTTTTAAAATGCTATTCAGTTGTCCCCTACCAATTCGTCATAAATCTGTTAACTCAACTGAAAGCAACGAACTTATAACTGGGCATTATTGATAGTGTACATAAAACGTCCATTGCACTCAATATGGACTTGTAAGCAATATAATTCATTCCTTAAAAATAAATTTAACACCTAAAATTTAGTGGAAATTAGCACAAATAATGTACAATATTTGCTGTAAATAAATTTAATGTTCAAAACAGTCTTTTAGCCAATCTGAAGTTCAAAACTAGATTTCATTCGTAGTACCTGACTGAAACCTAGAATCATGTTTTCGTTAATAAACAGTCACAAAGATATTCTTCGCTTTTCTTCAAAACAGATAAAATTCATAAGGATGATGTTTTATTTTTTAATTTTTAAAATTCAACGTCGGAAGCAATTATTCAATAAGTGGAGCTGGAAAATCATTTGATGTTGGTACATTGTTAGTGAAACTTTTTGTCATTCAAATTTAATAAGTCTTTATTGTAGGACAATGTCATTCAGAATTCCCAAGTTTTAACTCCAACTCTTCTACCTTGACTTGAGCAAGTGAAGCTATTTTTGTTGTATTTGCTTATGTGCATCTACTTCTGTTAGAGTTATATGCCAATTAAGCGACTGTATAAATAATGTTACCATTGTCTGAGTGTTAGAATTGCTCGAAATTTCTTTTCAAACAACTTGTAAATTATTTGAAAGTGGATAGTAATCTATGAGAAATCAACATCAATGTCATTTTGTCTAGTTTAGAATTTAAATCTAATCAAATAGCTCTTTCAATATGTTGCTATTTATCTAGCCTTAATCTTTGATAGACGAGTTCTTAGTTTTAGGCAAACTGTACTTTTAATGCTGAGTAATCATGCATATAAATTAAAATTTCTAAAATATTTTTTGGTGAATACCTATCTATGAGATTGACCAAATTAAAAATAATTACAACTTCTACATTTGGCAACAACTTCTCTTGGAGCGTCACATTAAGAAAATTTTATAATAATCAATATCTATGTATTAACAGTTGTTTCAACTAAATAGCTCGGAAAAGGTAATATTTTAAATAGCTTCCACTATTTATGACACCTTTTTCTTTGTAAGTGTGCAAAATGAATTAAGTTGAACTACATCTCTCTTCTCTAAAATGCTGTAAAGCAATATTTCCCCATCGTCATATTTGACTCGCAGCCAGGCAGGATTCCAAACTAACTGCTTAAAATGGTATTTTCTCAATACAGAATTGCAATGCCGAAGTCTCTCCACAGAACTCTGATACTATTACTTCTTTGCCTAGCGAATGTTTTTCATAAACACATTAATTAATTTTTTTGTAGTAAGTGATGGGAATTGGAGAAATAAGACAGTTTCAGACAAATTAAAAAGGATTACTTGGCAGTGTTAACACGGTATTAATCATAAGTGTAATAATATCTGGTAATATTATGCTATTTGTGAAGTCTCAAATTTACTTTTCTGTCTCTCTACTTAAATTTTAGAGTTAAAAAATTAATCTATCGTTTTCTATCGGTAGATAGAATCTTATACGAACTGTAAAATACGAAGTGTAAGCATATATACATGTTTATTCTTTTTATACTTCATATACACATGTACTTCAAAACTTATGTTACTAATAAAATTTAATTGTTATTATTATTTTACTTATATAAGAATCTAACTATAAATAACTGTTGTTTTGATCAATATTCCTGTGTCAAAATGATGTTAAACCACAAAAGCATATACTCATTGTTATTCTCTTCTAATTCCTATAATTCACTAATTTAGAGCAAAATAAAATTACTTCAGAAACTGAAGGCTTAGAGAATGCTTCAGAATCTGAATGCTAGTTTCGAAACATAGTTTTGAACCTTCAGAACCGAATGCCAGATAAGAAAATTAAGTTCCAAACTTCTTTGTTATAGTTTTAACTTATATAAAGCTTTAATAGGAAATAAACAGAGGAAAACACTATGGTACTTATGAAAATGATTATGATACTCGTAACTGGTATCATTAGAAGTGTAATAAAATTTTAAAAAATTAACGGATTAAAATGCACTACGAGTGGCAAAATTCAGTTACTTTGTAAATATCATACGTGAAAAACATATTCTTTCGCTTTAGTTAATAAGCATTCAAAATATGCAATGCTATAGATTCAGAAAAGTTGTCTATAGTTCTGTATTCCAGAAAAAACTAACTTGAAAACATTGAAGCTGCTGTTTTACTCCAGTTTTTCACGCTGAGAATTCTTTTAGAATTCGATTAAACAAATATGTGCAACCTTGCTCTTTTGTTTATTTCTATCAATTTTGCTCTAAATGAACTTTCTTCTGAGAGGTTTCTCCTTTTCCTTTAATTCTCTTTTTTAGCACTTTTACTTCCTTCTTCAAAGTAAAGGATGTATTGTAATCTCGAAACATTTCGGGTATCATATCTCAAAGAAATATCCATTGTGACCGCTCTTGAATCCATTTGAACTATGTTTTTGCATGACAGCTGTACGTACGAATGGAATAAAAGACTCTTTTTGCCAAAACGGATTTCAAAATGGATTTAGAGGAGGCTTTTTTTTTTTTTTTTTTTCATGACATCCGTATGTATCTCGCATAACTCAAAAATGATTGGCCTCAAAATGTTGAAACTTTGCATATAAGACTGCTATAACATAATTGTGCATTTCCCTTTTTGGTTATAATAGGCGGCACCAGAATATATATATATATATATATACTCACTCTGTTACTCGGCTCGGTGAGCTCAGTGTTTTTATTCTTATTTGTTGGTAAATTGTTCATTTTTTGCTTTAAAAATGATTGAATTGTGTTGTTCTTATTATCCGGTTAATATTTCTGTGTCTTTGATTAATCTGCATGGGATAGTTGTAGAATTATCAACAATTTCAAAAATGCCACTAAGTCTAACGAAGACGCCATTCGTTTACATTTGAAACTCTTAGTAGCACAGTGAATTAAGTCAGTTGATGCACAAGCGTCAGTGTCTTTGTGTTCAGTGTGATCATTAGTTAACTTTCAGTTATGAGCACCGAAACTTTCGTCTTCTTGCCCCCTGGCTGAATCGCTTGTTTTTGCGTAGGAACTCTAATTTCAATTGCAAAAATTATTTTTAACTGTATTTGGTGTTTTAGGCTTTTCTGTATTCTACAATTTTTAATGAAGATTAAGTGTTCATTTTTTCTCCCTGTCTTGCCCTGAAGTGAGAACTGAATTGATTGAATTAGAAATATATCTCTAATTAAATTCAAGGAAATAAGTTTAAATGAAGTTCAGCAAAAATGTGCAAAATTTAATAGACCGTACGAGGGAGTCATGTGGTGTCCACATTAGATATATTCTTTAAAAAGGCAACGCTTGTTCATAGTTTTTACGCTCCAGGTCTGAAACAATTAAACAGTAAAATTAAGAAGGGATTATTAGTAGCGTCGGTATAAATAGAAGGTTCCAAAGATTTTGATTCGAATTTGTACCAAAATTTAAAAAAGAAGTTTGTTTTGTAGGTTTGCTAAATGAAGTAGCCGCCAGATAAGTGAATTAAAATAGTATATGTGCTCCGCTTGATCTTTGTCTTAACATTAAAATATAAGTTAATAATGAGCTTATATTAAAAAGGTAACTAAATTTCAAATCAAGTTTGTTTATTGCTTTCATTTATCACTAACAGCTGAAATGATTTTTAAAGCTAAAATTTTCCTGATTAAATAAATTTAGGAAATAAATATAACTTTGCGGCTGTACATTATCGGTATCTTTTCCTATATATTCAGGTTAATTTTATCTCGAGTATAAGTATAATAGTAGAAGTCCAAGTTTGATTTCACTTTTGAAATTAAACTTCATTCATGCATTAGTACGACTGGTCTCTCATAAAAATATTCATGATTATTAACTTGTGATTGATTGTATTTGGTTTGAAGTTTTGGATAACCCTAAAACTGTATTTGATAGTCTTGGTTTCTGCTATACTTCCTAATCTGTAAAATTAATGGAAGGGCATTCTTATTTCTAAAAGTAATTTTTTCCAACCATACTTTTATTATTTTAAGAAACTGAATCGATTATATAGTGGTTAATTTATTACCTTTTTTTATAAGTGTCCATATGCCGTTAGATTAATATATATCATTAAAGAAAATACGTAGTAGATATGATTTGTATGTTTGATATATGAACAATTAAGTAAATGTGCATATTTGTTTTGATATGTGTCTTCAAGAGAATTATTTGCTAAAAATCAGTATTTAATTTGAATGTATCTATTAAATTACAAGAGCATACTTTATTTTTTCCATAAAAAATTTTATATCATGTATACATCATTAGAAAGATTATTGATGAGAAAGAATTTTTTCAGTATTACTTGCCGTGTGTACTATGAATTGTGTTTGTGTGGTGTTATGAATAAAATCATCACTGTTGTCTTGTGATTTCTTGTCTTGCTTTGCACATCAATGACTACCAGACAAAATAACTTGTTTCAGCGGGTGTACACCAACTGCGCGAATGAAAATACCTCCCTCGTCCTGGTATAGTCCAACTGCGCGAATCAAAATTTCTTCCCCCCTTTGCCTACAGGGCTACAATTTTACTTTTCGAAGCCAATTGTAGTTAAGAGGAAAATAAAAATAAAGAACTAGAATTACATATTCACAATCACAAGAACAAGTAAAGAATATCTAAGAAGCAGGCTAATTACTTGAATAACAGTAATAAATGCGAGAGCTAACAAAGAAAATTAAAAGGCATTGGTAAACATACATATTAGCATTACAAACATCTTTCATTAATTACAATATTATAGGAAAGAATATCACAATAATATCATAAACCAAATAATTGTAAAGCATACTAATTATAATTAAATAATCATCAATAATAGTCAAGATGTCTGAACTAGACTGGAAAATTTAATATAGTTTACTAGCGTGCAAAAGATTATTCCGTATTAAAGTGTGCTAGAAATATTTTTTGTTAATTAAAGTAATCATGTAAATATTTGCAGAAATTAGTAGTTAAATTATAAAAAGCTTAGCATGAAATCTATTATAACAACTGTTATAATTATAAATCTATTATAACAGCATTACTATGCATTTGGAACACTTGTCAGGACTATGTGTCCTATACATACTCTTGGCAAGCATATTGGTGACAGTATCAAGGTCCTGATCTCGAACAGTGAGCTGATTGCAGTATGTTCTTGTGAGTGCTAGAAAAACTATAACGTAGAAAGGGTATAAAATACCCTTTTATTTAAATTACTATTTACAGTAACTCCCAGCTCAGGAGTGATAACAAAAAAATAATGATCGCGCTTGGGTCCAAACTGAACAATCAAACAATTTAAACTAAAGCTTAAGTAGAAATTTAAATAGTCGCTGTTCTCATAGCTTAAACGCGAGATTTGGCCTATCTATGGTGCGTTGCAAGTACTTAGCTAAGTACTAGCGCATTTAAATCACTTCAATAAGTAGTAGAGCAATAGCGCTAAGGCGTAAGAATTTAAATACTAACTAGTCTGGCGAACGTCCACCGAGCCGAAGTGGTCTGAGACTAAAAGCTCTCTCACACTTGAGAAGTTTCTCACTAACCTTTAAATACAAAAACTTGGCTCCAAAACAAATTAGCATAAAGCTGAACCGCGCGCTCATTCTGAAGGGAAGTTGAAATAAGAGTTTACAGGAAAGGGTAACTTAAAAGAAATTTGGTTAGTTTAAATTAAAACCTTACACACTGACGTATAAATTGTAAATAAATTTAAATTATTATGATAAGAAGTTTTTCTAAAATTTATCTAGAAGGAAAAAAAATTGGATAAACAGTATTGCAGTTTAATATAATCAATCAGGCCTGTCAATAAATAAAGACTTATTTTTTAACCAAAAATTAAAAATTGGGATGCAAAAGTTTGTGTAATATACTTGGAAATATCTGAACATATAATTAATTAGGACGTTTAATTAAATTAAAAACAAGCTAATTAACAGCAAAATTAGCTTAATTTCATTCGATCTAAAACAAGCAATCGATCAGGAGCTCCGCATAACTGAAGTTTTAATGCTATTTTACGTAGATTTGCGTATAAAATAATATTGCACTTGTGAAACAAGTGAATAATGTACTGATAGTCAACAGGAATTAAAATACAGTGGTTAAAAATATAACTACTTGTCAGAAGGTATGCAAAGTTGCCATGGCTAGAGAAATTGAATGATTATAGAAAACTCATAAAGTTAAGCGCTACAGTGTGAAAAGAAAATTCTGGAATAAACATGTTAAGAAAATTAGATGGAGAAATAATCCTTAATTTATTGATATCCATATAAACTCTATGCTTTTGGAAAAATGTTACATATAATTTGCACCGAGGTATCAATCACCGAAACGAGTTAATTTCTTTCTTTATTTTTTTTCTTATTAGAGGGATTTGTAAAACGATATGCTAAGGTAAAGGTGAAAATTTTTGCAATATTTTTAAAGAATAAATTTTAAAAAGTATTTTCACTTCATGAACTGAAATTTTTACGCTACATTTTTACACAATAAATAAGTACAAAAAAAAGAAATAGCTGGGGGAATCACTGAGACTAGAAACTCGGGTCGAACTACCAATGTTTAGTGACTTTTTCCGCTTGATCATAAGACCTTTTGAAATTAGGCTGAACAATATATTAAAGAAAATAGAAGATACAGCACACGTAAGAACAAAAGTGGGCTGAATTAGAGATTTACATGTTTGGTGAATGAGTTAAACTTACCTGTATGCCATTATGAAATATTAGGAATGTAGCATAAAAGCATGAGTGAAGAAGGCAATGGCAATCTAAATCATTGTAATCTAAATGTATAACATTATCAGTATCTGCTATTAATTTCAATACTGCTGAAAAAATTATAAATGAATTATATTATAAATTACATGAACTCGTTGCATTATAAATTACAACAGTTAGAAATATTATTAACGTGATTTAGCGACCGTCTTTGTTAGCAAATAATTAATTTTACAAATAACTCAGCCTGAAACTAGGTTGGTAAATAAGCTGCATGCTGAAAATTAAGCTTTGCTAAGGTGTTAGAAACATCTTCTGTTAACTAGAGTTATGATGCAAGAATTTGTAAAAATTACCATTTAAGTATAAATTGGCATCAAAAATACGATACAAAATATATAAATTCTACATGCATGAAAACTTGAAAACTTGAATACAGTGCAACAATATGTGAAAAAGGAATGGATTAAAAGGAAACTAAAATCCCAAAATATAAGGAAGTTTGATTTTTTTTTTTTTTTTTTTTTTTTTTTTTTTTTTTTTTTTTGGGTGCGTGTGTGTGTGTTTGTGTGTCAATTATGAAAATTTTGCAGACGCTCATAATTATCAATTGATTAATTAAATGTGTATTAGAAATTAAATGTATGCCAAAGTACATCAGGTAGAGTAACTGGTAAACAGAATAAATATTTAAACGTTTCTAGTATTAAAATATGGAATTTGTAAGAAAGTTAAATAACCTTAAAATAACTTCAATGACTAAAAATGGAAAGCTTAATACGGGAATATATTGCAATAATATTAGTGTGAATTTAGAACGACTTAAGAAGTCCAATTTTTAGATTTAATAAAGAGAATTGTTTTAATTAAATTAGAACTGTTTACCTAAAATGGTAAATTTGAAAGTTAAAACCATTCTGCTATCTAAGAAGATTTGTTAATATTTATCTATACAAGAAACTTATTTAAGGTGCCCTACAAATCCGATATTTGATAGTTTGCTTATGAATCAGTTTTGTGTATGTCATTAATCTATCAATTTTATTATTCAAAACTGATATATATTTATATAAATCTACAACTTGGAAAGTTTTTAATTCTTACACAGAATAAAAAAGATCTGGCTTATCATTCTTTCAAGCATCATTAAACTTTAAAATGAATATAAAAGAAATTCATTTTTACTTTAGCACACGCCAGACTTTAAATTAGTATTTGTTTTGTATGCACAATTTTTTACAATATTGATAAAAAAGTAAAGGCTTGCAGTCTCATTAAAATGTCTCATCAATGGCGATAAATGACTTTCTGTAACACCCAATCTTCTTGGGAAAGAAAGAGGGGACAGGAAACGTCGCGCAATTCGTGGATTAGATAAGGGAGGGACGGGAATCTTCGATCAAATTTCGCGCAGTTCGCACCCTACCGTTTCAGCGACTTCAATATGTGTTTGTTTTCCTTTTTCTTTATTTCAAAGAATTTTAAACGAAAATAAATTATTTAAACTAGAATTAGTTCTAGTATTACAGAATTCAATAATAAAAGAGCATTTACATTTACCAAGATAACATTGTGAAAAGAATTTACATGACTAATAACAGAATGAAGTTGTAATGAATGAACAGAAAGCAGTTTCCTTTTGTTAAATAGTTTTTTACAATTATAAGACAGAAAAGCATTTAATCACTCTTATAGGTTGCATCTTTTATGAAGAATGAAAGTTTTATTCCTGTTTAAATCATAGATAAGTAAAATTGATAATGAAACTTTTCTTCATTTTGTATTTACAACTCTCCTTAATAGTTCAGAATCACCAAAATTTTATATTATTTTGGAGTTTATTTTGTAGAAAACTTGCATATATACATTTTTGGAAAATATGATACAGGTTTCTTTTTTATTTTTAAATTTTTTCAACTTGTTTTGATTTATAGTATATCAGACTCAAATATATTAGCATGGAGAATAACGTAAAATAAATTCTGTTCCTATTGTTAACGCAAACTGAGATAACTTTCAGTGTTCCGTAGAAAGCCCGAACAATGCAGTACAATATCACATTTAACAAGAGCTTATAATATTAACTAAAGTCAATATGACTTCGCATTTGGAGCTGGCTTACCTAAGGTATAGATGGCAGCGGATTTATTTTAATGATTCTAAATTTAGCTCATTTTAATTCTGAAAAGGAAATATCATTTGTGAATGAGATTAATCTACGCTGATGAGCTTTGACAGAAATTTCCAAATAATACTACACCTATTTGTACACCTATTTTACTTTGTGAGATGTAATTAAATTATTTAAGTTTTCTTTTGACCTTAAGAACGATTTAATCCTTTGATGTTGTTGAAATGTATGATATAAAGCTGTAAGAACAGTGTGTCATCGGTTAAGCTTTGTGTTACCACTGTGCCTTGTTCGTTTACTGTTTAGAACAGTGTAGAACAGGGGTTCTCAACTAGTGGAAAATTTTTCGTAGAGGATTTCACAGTTTCAGGGGGGAATACGGACAGCCTTTTATTTATCTATTTGATATTTAATTTCAGTTTACGAATATAATTTTTCCCCTTTATGAATATTTTTGTTTTTTCAAACGTTGGTATTTATAACATTTTCTATACTTTTACTTGTTTAATATATAAAA